CCCCCCCCCGCAAGTACTTAGCCTGCAAGAAGCAAGGTCTTTAGGGGCGAACTTCACACTGAAACAAACAAGTTCTCCTAAATGCCATAAGAGCACTCAACATAACTGCAGGGCAAAAGGCAAGCTTTCAAAACCTGCCAGCTAACCTTGGCAGCAAAGGTGTGAGTGGTGTTAGAGCATTAATGAAAACAAAGTGAGTGGTGTTCACAGGAAAGGAGCAGCAGTTGTCTTAATCTGTAGAACTCGTTCAGCAAAGACTTGAGAAAAGCAGTTGCGTTGATTAAAAAAATAATAATAATAATGCCTTCCCTTCCAGAACCTGACTGAAGCAATTCAGAACGGAGTTTACCCTATTGGAAATGAATCACAGACTGAAAACAGCAACTGGGATTTCAGTAACTCCTTCTTCTTTGCAGGCACAGTGGTCTCCACAATAGGTCTGTTCTGTGATTCCCATATTTGTGTGTGTGTGTGTGTGTGTGTGTGTGTGTGTGATGTTTATGTCTGCTTACTAGGACCTAAACTTTCAAGGATAGAAAGTCCAGTTCTTTATTGGCTTGCATGGGAAGCAGCTACTGACATGGTCCTGAGCCCTCACTGATGCCCAAATCTTTGTGTATTACTTTGAATTTTAAAATACTGATAGTCTTTCATTTTGATCTTTTTTCTTTTTTTTTTTCCTCACTTGTTTCTTCTTTTCAAGCCATCTATTAAAATCTTGTTCTGCTGCCAGTTGTGGGTAGAAGATTTGACTGTCCAACATCTGACTTTTATTCTATGGTCAAACAGGCTTTAAATCTGGGAGTGGAGTAAAGCATAAAAGAATGGTATGAAATAAGTGAACTTTGCTGGGAAGGAAGAAATGAGAAGAGGACAAGGCAATTTCTAAGACTTTCACACTGCTTCTTCAAGCTATTCTGACCATCCCAGGGGCTGCTTGCCCCTGCCTGTCTCTCCCTTTCCCTCAAATATGCATCCCAAAAAGCAAAGGCCTGCCGAATTTGAGCATGCTTATGGCTGCTGCTTCAGACTGTCATGCAATGAGGGTTAAATGTATGTTTTCACAAGCTGAGGCCTCTCCCACTACACCCTAAGCACAGCTGTGCCTGTGACCTGTAAGTGTGACATGTCTTGGGTCCCTGTGGTGCCCCAGCATCGTGGCAGGTGTGTTGGTGTTGCATGAACCCATATGGAGATTTCTTGCCATAGAAGAAAGGGGATGTAGAGACTTGAGCAAAGTGTTTTCCAGCAGCTTGCACTCATCTGCTGGAACCCTTTTAGTATAACACAGAAAAATTCTTTAGGAGGATCTGGAGAAGAGAAAGAAGAATCGCTTTCCCCTGTTGATAACATTGTCCAAACACCACCAAAGAACTTGAACTGAAAATCAAATCTCACTGATTTTTTTTATTTTTCTGCTCCTCAGCACTGCAGTTATAAGTCAGACTCCATCAATGTTGAAGAGGTCATTTTATTATAGAAAACTGCTGAGTACTCTGGAAGTCTCCTGACCCATCACATGAAAGACAAACATTTCATGGAAACAGCAATATTTACATATTAATAGCCAATCCATTCCTTGCCATTACCTGTATTATTGTAGTTTTTTCATTGTGGCATTTCTCTCCCAAGCAAAAGGGTTTCTTCCCATCAAATTTGTTTCCCCACTGAGCGAGAAAGGCTGTCCCAGGAAAAGTCCCATTTGCTTGTTTCTCTGCCCCCTTACTGCATAGGTCTCTTAGTGAGGTACTTTTACCCATCTTCACCTATCTTGGCTTTGCTGCCATGAAAATGCAATATTTGTGCAACAGGAAGCACAAAACACCTCAAGCATCTGAGTCTTAGCAGCCAGTTAATCACTCAGTTGTTTTATTTGTCATCTCCCCAGAGGAAAACATGCAGTTTTCCAAATAATGGATGTCTTGAGTTGAACTGTGCTCTGGAAAGTGCTTTTTCTCATGGTGAGGATAAAATAAGGACATACACGAAGTACAGAACTCTAGCACTTAAAGATGTACCTCATGGGGTCTAAGAGCAGCAAAGCCTACAGTCCATTAAAGGACATGTTTGGAGTTCTGCAGCTGTTGTTCCATTACTTATCTAAATCCTCTTTTAATAGAATTTTAAGAAAATTATCTCTCTGGCATGAATGAACTGACTACCAGTAAGGTCTGGGTTAATTAGTGCAAGGTACTGTAATGCACCCTACAGTGTCTCAGCCAGTATCTGGACATACCAACCTACCGGCATTCAGCCACGGAGGTCACTAACACACAGGCATATCTACAAGAAGGCAGATTGTTTGATTCTGGCATGAGAAACAGCCTGAGACTCTAGACTTGACATCTTCCAGGTCCCCAGCCTTCTGGTTTTTGTCTTCCTGTGTATTTCTCAAGGGAAATGCGTTATTTTCCATAACTGCTTTTAGATTACGCTTTCATTCCCATTAAGGCTTGGTTGTGAGAACAGCACTCTGCATCCCACAGAACATCCAGGATGAATCACTTCTGCTTTCTAGTGAGTAAGTGAAAAGTGAAAAGTGAGTATGTAGGCTAGGAAGTGCTAGCCACATTTTCTGGAAACAAAGGCAGGCCAGCCTTGGTTGTGTGTGAATGTGATCGTGGATTGCTCCAGCTCTCTGGAATATCTCCTCTGACATATCTTTCTTTTCATAGGTTATGGCACGCTACGTCCTAAAACTGTTGGGGGCCAGATCTTCTGTGTCTTTTTTGCTCTCTTTGGAATCCCTCTGAATATTGTTTTTCTGCACCGTGTTGGTAAGATCCTCTCACTGCTGTGTAAAAAGCTGGGGATATTCCTGTACGAAAAAGGAATGAGAAAGGTAATTGGTTTTACTTAGGCACAGTGACATGCTAGGCTTTTTTCCAAGATACATCCTGGCATTATCCTCTGTTACGTTTGTTCTCTTGCTGTGTTGGGCATTGTGCTAGGAGAGGAAAAGAAGTATTCTTTCCCTGCAGAGCTAAGCAGAAGAGGCAACTAGAGGAGGTTTTCAGAGAGGGGAATACGCTTTGCCTGTTCATCTACTTAGCATGTCTGAGCCCACTTCAGCAATCAATGGAAAGAGAGAGAGAGAGAGAGAGAGTGCTTCCTTCTACTTCTCTAGACACTTATCTCAGGAGCTAACACTAGGGAAGTACCTGCCCCTCTTTATTGGCAGCTCAGAGATAGGTGATTTAGCATCTCACCTTGAGAGAAGAGAGCTGTGAAGTAGCTGAGCTGTAGGAGTTTCAGTAGACGCTGGCTCAATGCTTAACGTGTCACCCCTCCTTATTCGTTATGCAGTCCTTTAATCCCTTTCCGCCTTTGACTTCTACAGCAAGGAAAATTCAGGCTCAAGTTGCCCATTTGAGCCCAGCTGCTGAAAGGTGAGGAGGCCCACAGCAGGGGGCTGGAGGCACGGTATCTCTGTTCTGGTTATGGCCCAGGTTATTGGGAGCTTCTCACATTCTCTCAATGCTTCTGATGAAGTGAGAATGGCTCTTCTGTGTCTCCTGCTGTAATTCTCTTCATTAGGATTAGGTATGAATGTTACAGATAACTGATCAAACTGTTCAGTATCCTCCTGTGTCTGGCAAACTTAAGTAGCATGTAGGGCTAGATTAGATGTTGAATCTAGCACAAGCAAAACACATAAAGGCATGAGAAAATACCCAGCAGTTGCCATTCATTTCCAGACAATCTGGACTTAAAAAATGTGCATACAAAATAGATTATCTGGTTGAAAAATCTTACTGTCTGACAAGTCTTTTTATCCAACCACAGTTGCTTCGTAGCTGCTTGGTGGTAGGATGGTTCAAAAGTCACTGGCTAGACAGTTCTTCATCAGGAGTTTGTTTGTTAAAGGTCTCCTCATAGTCACTTATCCACTGGGTAGGATTTAAGTTGTGGTACAGATGCAATGATAAAGTTAACAGTCGAGACTCTGTAAGATACTGCAAGCAATATTGGAAACGATGTAAATTATTTTTTTAAATATGTATTTTCCAAGGCAAAATTGAGTGTTCTTGGGAATACCTGAATGTCTGAAAGCTAGCTAAAAGTGATGTCATTTAGTGAAAACTGGAAATGGTCTAATTCTGGTAAAAGTCATTGGGAATTCCTTCCATATGCGTGGGCATTAAAAGCTAACAGAATAAATAAATTAAAAAAAAAAAAAAAAGGACTATATCTCTCAGGTTTATTATGGATATGAAACACCTTTAATGCATAGATTCCCCCTGCTTCAGGGCAACACACAGTGATTATAGAAGGTATTCCTAGGTGGTCACCCATTTTGAATACCAAGCATTATATATGGCCTGCTAGTGTGTCAAATCATGGTTGTAATTTAGTTGTCTCTTTTTCAGAAGAAGATCAAATTTCTGACCCTTCTGTTCTTCCTTGTGACTGGGATCCTAGTGTTCCTGTGTTTGCCATCACTATTCTTCCAGATCACAGAGGGTTGGTCCTACAGTGAAGGAATTTACTTTGCATTTATCACCCTCAGCACCATTGGCTTTGGAGATTACGTAGTAGGTAAGATTGATTTCAGAGAGGAGGTGCAGCAAAGCACCAGGGTTGCAACTTTAATTACTGTGGGTTGACTGCACAGGTCATCAATGTACTCTAGAGACAAATCTTCTGTCTAGTCTTTGACCAGTCTTTGCTTTGTAAGATTTTGGAGGAAATACTTGTCTTTCTAGGATTTCATGAGCTGATGAAAGCACAGAGTTGTATAAACGTAATGAGATGGGGTGCAAAAAGCCAAATATTTTGGGGAGGGAAGGGTAGAATTCAACAAGCCTAGGAGTTTGCATATATGAAAAGGAGATAGTTGTGACTGCCATATGAGATACATATCCCTGCTTTAGCCACCTACGACTTACATTTCAGTAAAAAAATAAGTGCTTGTGTTTCAGAAGACATGATTTTACAGAAGTCCAAGAAGTAGAAACTGTAGTCACAGGTTAGTGGGAAAATCTACTCATGAAAATCTATGAGAAGTGGATCTTAAATAGGTACATCACTTTAAGAGCAGCCTTCTTTAGTATCCTCATGCACTACTGCACGTGCTGTGTCTTCCCAAGTTAGAGCTTAGGAGGTTCCTCTGATGTCACACCGTTGAAGCCACACTCCAGCTTGTTGGTGTGCTTCTCAAAACACTTTGTGACTCTGCTGGTCAAAATACACTCTGAACAGAATCAGCTTCTAGAAGAAATCCACAGTGAAAACCAGGAGTCAAGTGTGTGTCCATGGGAGAAGCAACAGAACACCTGGATTCCTTGAAGTATCAAGGATTTCTCTACAACAACCTGTTCTGCCAGCATCTCTCCAATACAGGCTTTTCCTCGGCACTGGTACAAGAAGGAAGCTTTGGAGCTAATACTTGAGTTTTGCAATTACAAGAGCAATAGCTCCAGAATAGCTACTTCAATAGCACTTTCCTCAGGTGTAAACATGTTATTTTACAAACACGGTTAAACGAATTAGAGGAGCCTCCTGGCTCTGTGAGTTCTTCTTTAAGATGACTTAACTGGAGCTGCAGTATTTTTTTCCTGCAATAGTTGTCAAACAATGGCAGTAAAATGCCTCAAGTTGTGCCAGGGTAAGTTTAGGTTGGATATCAGGAAAAAACTTCTTTTACAGAAAGGGTTGTTAAGCACTGCAATAGGCTCCCCAGGGAGGTGGTTGAGTCACCAGCCCCGAATGTGTTTAAAAACTGTTTGGATGTGGTGCTCAGGGACATGATTTAGCAGAGGGTGGTTAGAGTTAGGGTAGCATGGTTAGGTTGTGGTTGGACTTGATGATCTTGAAGGTCTTTTCCAACCTGAGCAATTCTATGATAAGTTTTAATGCCACACACAGCTTCTGAACACAACAATCAGAATGAATGTTCTTCATCTTACGTGTTTAGAATTGATTACAAATGACCAATAGTTTTGTGCTGACCAAATGGAAGAGGACAGGCATGAGTTTATTTGCATTTTAGTAATTCTGATTTTTGTAGCTGCTGTACTTCAAGGATGAGATAAAGCCTGTTTTGTATGGGGAGAAATCCTAGGAAGATGAAGTCCTGATTCAGCTGTTCGCAGCACGTGTACACATGGGTGACATTTCTAGGGTGAAACTCCCCTTGGTCTGTGAACCAGCTTTATGCCTTACTGAAGTTCAGCTTTGAGTTAACGTTATGTAGATATTACTAGCTGCTTTGCAAACAGTGTTGAAGTCCTAACCCCACACGATGAGCTTCACACAGAACAGAAAAAGAGATGCTTTACAGGAAGCCTGACAGCTTCTCTACCTGACAGCTTCTCAGTCCCAGCAAAAGAAATAAAACCAGCTGTCGGTTATCTAGTCATGATTATAAACCAGCTCACTGCTGCCCCATTTCCAGAGCTTTGCATGATGAAGTACAAAAATCCAACTAGTTGATTTATTTAATGCAAAGTGCTGCAGGACATGAAATGGGATGCCAGCATCCTGATCTCTTCTAGGCAGCTTCAGAATGTGAAATGCTCCACCAGGTTGTGGTGATCTCCCTGTCCATGCATGTTGCTGTTATCTCTGCTATATGGATTCACCCTTAACAATGACTTGCAACATTCACCAAGCAGCATTACCAAGTTTTTGTGCTGATGCCAGGTCCGTATCATTTCAACAGAGGGGAACTAGATGCAGTAGGAACAAATGCTTTCTGAACATTGCTTGTGGATTGTTGACATCTGAGCAAACAAATGAAGTGACCCATGCAGAAAAGTGGGTGTGTAAGGCTAGGTGATGCTAAGTGGTACAGACTGCATGAAATAAGCTCCAGTCCACTAGTTCCCAACACAGAAACTTGTGTTCTTGGCAAGTAGTGAGTTCTCATCAGTCATCTACTTTATTAATGGAAAATGCTCCTGAGTCCATTCAAAAGTCAAGTAGGAATTGCAATTTCAATTAAGCATATCAATAATTTAGAGCAATTACCTATCAGGTCATAATTGCATTTTACAGAATCACAGTAACTTGCTTGGAGGTCAATCCACACCAATCTCAGTATATCTTTTGGAGAGACCATCATGTGTGCTAACATATATAAAACTGAAGCCACAAGAGACTCAGTCAGCCTGAATCTAGAACACGCTTTCCTCTGACCTGGAGTACTGCTGTTGTATTTTATACATTGCATATTGTAGTATTCCATCACAATGAACGTCACCTTGAAGCATTCAGTGTAAAATACATTAATTGAGTCCATTAGGCTTGCCTGTTTTACACAGGCAAGGCCAGTTTAATTTGTTAATTTTCTCCTCCTTTCTCTCCCCCTACCTGCAGGTAAACAACCTGGCAGGATTTATTTTTCCTACTACCGAACAATTGTGGCCATTTGGATTCTTTTTGGACTTGCCTGGATTGCTCTCCTATTTAATTTATTGACAACGGTTCTAGAAGATACTGAGAAAATAATTGTCAAGGATCTTCATCAAATCAGAAAGGTGGGTGAGGATAATGCAGCAAGCCAACCAAGAAGGTGCTGGCCTGTTCAGTTTATTCCAGAAGAAGAACTGATAGCACCTTGTGCTGAAGGGGATACCCAGAAAATGGAGTCATTAGCAGCAGAGGGTGCACAGGAAAATGGAGTTAGTAGCAGCAGGTTCTGAACAAACAAAAAATGAAAAAAAAAAGTGTTTTCTGATAGCCAAAAATACTGGCCATATGCTTTAGCACGGACATTTAATTCTTCATTGGAAATTTGCTAGTGCATTATTCTAAAGAAATTCCCATGGAAATTAAATTTATCCCACCTTTTGCTGAAGTGTGGCCATTTAGAGCTCAAGACTTTCAGTTATACAGAAACACAATATTAATGATACAAAGTTTGCTCTACAGTTTGCAGCCATCTTGTGCTAAAACATTACAAATGCACCCATTTTGTGAGGCTTTTTAAAGATGCTTCCATGAAAACGCAAAGGAGGGGTGTGGTAGAGCTTGCTTACTGTATTTGGATTTTGCTGCTTGTAAAAAAAAAATCACATCTCTTCTTGGAGCTGACATGTACAAGCTTTTCTGAGTTTCTGAGTAATACCAGCACCTTTGGAAGAAGAAGAAATAAGGGCATATAACATGCCTTGATTTGAGACATCACATAGGATGAACTGGCATGATCTGAAAGCCGTGTTTGAAGGACAAGACCTGGGCTCAGTGCAGAGATGGATGAGCAAGGTTAGAAAAAGGATACCTGTATTAGAAATGATTCATTCTACATATTCCTGATTTACGCTAAGACGAATAAAAGCAACTTCATTTCTTATCCCTGCAGCTTTGAAAAACCTTTCTGATGAACATACAAGTTCAGATTTTATAATGATTATATTTCATAAGGATTTTACAAGATCAGAAACATGTTTGAATGGAGGAGTCTTCACCGCATCAAAGCCTTGCTTCTGTTTGTGCTCCACAGGTGCTAAGATGTCATTTAAAAGCAATCCTACTGTGCTGTGCTAAAGTACCTTTCCAAGTGCTAGTGCTGTCTAAACACTGCCATCTTGCCTTCAACCAGGGAGAGGAGGATGACAAACTTGTGAATGGTGTTTTAGATGTACTGCCATTCAGGCTATCCCTAGGTGAAGATCCTAGCATTCAAATGGGTTGATTGCTCCATCAGGTGCCTTGTATGTGTCAAGAGTACAGGAAAACTCTACCATGAATTTCTTGCAGTATCTCTTCCAGAAGCTGGTGGCTCCCCTGCTGTCCGAGCAAGAGGTGGAGTAATGTGTACCTCAAAGTCTGCAAACCTGTCCACCTCACATCAGCACCCACAAGACTCTCTCAAGGCAGTCCATACACTCAGCACATGGAGTGCTTCCCTTTGCTTGGTGCTGAACCTGTTGCTTCACAGGTTTTCACGATCCTGAGTTTCTGTTTTGTCAGGCAGTGAATAATTGTACTTGGCTAACCCTCCGGGTGTTAGTTTTAGCAAAACCAACTCTTGCCAGAGCTATTCCTGTACAAAAGGGAGAATAAATTACAGCTGTAAAGCAATTCTAGGCCGTAAAGATGCAATCAGCCTTGAACTCATATCTTTTTCAGTCAAACAAACCCACAGTTCTTGCCAAAACAGCCCTGCTGGTTCAAGATCTGGCATGTAGACCCGACCAAATATGTACTTTCTTTCCCTCCACAAATTATTTCCCAGTGTTAGCCTCAAGGCTAACTTCTAATCTAACATCTCTCCTTCTCAGGAAGCCTTTCTGAGGCAGCAGGAACAAGAACTGCCCAAAGTCAGGGCAGGGTGTCACAGCACGCAGCAGTCCCCATGTGTGTCCCTTGCAATCCCTGTGCAAGCTGTTGCTGTCACAGCACAACATCCTGGCCAGGCAGAAGAAACAGACAGTTGCTCCCAGACAGGGATCTTGTCACCAACTTATGTTCTCTCAACAAGCCTTGGCTCATGTTATTATTTTCAAAGCGTGTTTTCTTCTCTACTGCCTTTGCCTAGTCCTTCCCACGGGGATCATTAACCCCATCCTCAATCTAACAGAGATGCCATGAGGCCTGGTTTAGAGAGGTGTGATCTGCCTTGAGCTGTGATGGCCACATTGCATGGCCTCTTGTTGTCCCTTCCAAGATGGTTCCTGATGTCTCCCAACCTCAAGGTGTGTGTGTCTGTTTCATAGAACAATAGAATGATAGAATGGCCTGGGTTAAAAAGGACCATCTAGTGCTCAAGGTTAGAGCATCTAACGCTCATCCAGCTCCAACCCCCTGCTGTGTGCAGGTCGCCAACCAGCAGCCCAGGCTGCCCAGAGCCACATCCAGCCTGGCCTTGAATGCCTGCAGGAATGGGGCATCCACAGCCTCCTTGGGCAACCTGTGCCAGTGCCTCACCACTCTCTGGCTGAAAAACTTCCTCCTAACATCTAACCTAAACCTCTCCTGTCTCAGTTTAAGGCCATTCCCCCTTGTCCTATCACTATCAACCCATATGAACAGCCATTCCCCCTCCTGTTTATATGCTCCCTTCAAGTACTGGAAGGCCACAATGAGGTCTCCCTGGAGGCTTCTCCAAGCTAAACAAGCCCAGTTCCCTCTTTCTTCATGCTGCTGGAGAGAAAGAAGAACAGGGAGGGAAACATTCCTCCTAGAAATATCTTGAAGTCAACACCTTCTTCAGCATGTTTCCAGTGTCCCACTTGTTCCCTGTCATGACAAATCATAGAACATCCCCAGTTGGAACAGGTTGCCCAGAGAGGTTGTAGATGGAATGCTTCCCTGGAAGCATTCAAGGCCAGGCTGGATGGGGCTGTGAGCAACCCAGTCTAGAAGGAGGTGTTCCTGCCTATAGTGGGGAGCGGAACTGGATAATCCAGAAAGGTCCCTTTCAAACCAAACCATTCTATGTTTCTATGATTCCATTCTAAGTTGGAGGGGACCCCCAAGGATCATTGAGTCCAGCCCCTGGTTCCACACAGCACCACCCAAACTCTATGTCAGAGCAACATCCAGACTGATAACGTCCCACTGCATCACAGAGCAATCAAGGGTGTTTGTTCAGGCAGCTCAGGAAGGGCAAAAGGACCATAGAATGTGGGACACAAGGCAGGAACTGCTGTCACAGAGCTGCCCTCCTTCAGACACGATGTAGTGAGGTGCCAATCCAGTGGGGCTGTGTATGGAGAAAACACTTACACAAGCATAAGAAAAAAAAAGCACAAAATCTTTCCTTCAAGAGAAATTCAGGTAGCTTCTCTAAGAAAGCAATCAGCATGCTCCCAAATCCTCGCAGCTGCAGAAAGGCCTTTTGAGGGTTTCAGCTTGGTTTCTTGTGCCCTCTCGTGGCTGTGTGCTGCAAACTCTTTTCTTTGCTTTTCTCTCTGGTGGGAAAGGAAAGGGGGGAAGCCCAAGAAAGCTGCGAGCCAGGGTGGGAAAAGAACATTTTTCGATACAGTGTCGTTTCTCCCTCGTGTTTCTGCTGAAGAATGAAGTCGTCTCCAGAAGGGTTTAGGCGCAGCAACAAACCTCTCTGTGCTGGAGCAGCCTCCTCACTTCCAGCATTATCACCCTGCAAACAGTGCACAACCACGGCAGGTCTTGTCCTCGCATCACCCCTAGAAGAGGGAGCTGTTGATTTCTGTGCAAATAGTAAGGCCTCAGAGAAAATCTAATGTGTTGCCTGAGCTCAGGCACAAAGCCTTTAACAAACACCTGGGCTGGTGCCCTCTCAACCCCAAGTGTCCTGGGATTGCCTACTGATAAATCTGACCCAACCAGTGTTCCTGTAGTTGCTAGGATTAAGATCATCTTGAGTTGACAGCAAAGTTAGAACAGAGTTTCTCCTCCACAGCCAGAGATTCGAAACGATTGCAAGGCTTTTGAGTATAAGCCAAGCTCTGGCTCTTCAGCATGTTGCTGATGCCCAAAGCAGAGAAAGCAGGAGTCAAATCCAGCCCCAGCTCCTTCTGTGCCAGCAGCCACCCTCCAGAGGGACTTTTCCCTCAGCGCTCTGTGCATCCTGCAGCCACCCAGCCCTGCTGTGCCATGAGGGGAAATCCAGCTTTCACAGACCACCGCTGCCAGCTCTCCCACTGCAGCTCTTTTTCAAAGCGAGGAACATTTCCAAGGCAGGCCAAATGCTTTCCCATACATTTAACAAGTTGCTGAAAAATTCCAGGGGTAGGATCATGAATTATCTTGGATTAAACGGCAGCAGCATGTTCCTGCATTCAGGCTGAGCTGCTCCTCATACATCACCCACAGCCTTGCTGCCAGCTAGCAAACAGTGTGCATTTCTGCACTTGAAACCGAGGAAAATGCCATGAGAAATTATCTTTCCCTCAGAAAGAAGCCCCTGAGAAATCCGTTTGCCTCCAGAGAGAATACGAGAAACTGCACTTTGATCTGTCTTTAATTAGTATATGGGATTGTTTAGGGAACTTTTGAGGTCTTCTTCAATTAATAGTCTGTTCGTTTGGAGAGATTAGTCGTGATGGGGTTTTTTTCTTTCTTTTTTTTTCCTGGAAGCAGAGAGACTACTCAAATGGAACTGCTTGGCTAATGTAATATCATATAGCCAGCGGGATCTTTTCTTTTTTACAGAAATCACTAAAATTGGGCCACACACATATTATTTTCCATTCCGTCATACTTGGAGATGTGAATTCTCTCCTGACTTGAGCCCAAAAGGCTCTGCATCCAGCTCAGAAATGGTTCAACAAACAGAACTCCTCACTCTCCAGAGGCCTGTTCTCCATCCCTCATGATTGCACCCAAGGAAACAACAACAACAAGCAATCACCACAAAAGCCAGAGTTTTTTGGCATCAGCTAAATTCCCTTGTATCGTTTCAGAAGGGCTTAAAGTGGCCTTGAAAATCATAGAACGGGTTGGGTTGGAAAGGATCTTAAAGAGCATTAGTTCTGCTGCCCCTGCAGAGGGCTGGCTGCTCCCCCAGCTCAGGCTGAGCAGGGCCTTGTCCATAGCCTTGGGCACCTGCAGGGATGGGGCACCCACAGCTCTGGGCAGCAGTGCCAGGCCCTCACCGCCCTCTGAAGGAAGGATTTCCCCCTGACATCTAACACAAACCTCCCTTCTTTTAGTTCAAAGCCATTCACCCTTGCCCTATCACTGCCTGCACATATAAAAAATCGCTCTCCCTTCTGTTTGAAAGGTCCATTCAAGTGCTGAAAGGCCGCAAAGAGGTCTCCTAAGAGCCTTCTTTCTGCAGGCTGAACATTTCCAGCCCCCAGCCTTTCTTTGTAGGGAAGATGCTCCAGCCTTCTGACTATCTTTGTGGCCTTTTCTGGACCACTTCAACAGCAGGTCCAACATGATGTCCTGCAAGGTTTTGTGTCAGCTCTCATACTGTAAGGAAAGGAGAACCCGTGGGGGCTCCAGCATCTGTGGCTGAGGACTGGCCTGGGGCAGCACTGCTGGTTCAATGCTAGCAAAGCCAACAATGAGTTATTCTTGAGATAACAAGTTCTGGGGATAGTCAGAGCACCCATCCTTGCCTCTACTGACCTGCAGCCAGCCTCACCTCCACCGTGGGATATGAGCTCAAGCAGCACCGAAGCTGCTAAGAAAATACAGCCATTCCTATCTTGAGGGGTTCTGGACTTGATTAGGATAATTCTCCACCAGAGGTTTGGGAAAGCTCATTTTGCTGAGTTAAAGTTAGGGCAATTATCGAATCCATTTAATTGCCGGTTCAACATGATTTAGGAGACGTGTCTCCTGAACAAATACTGTCCCAAATTTCTCTTTCAATTATTCTCACATATGTGGTTGGAAACTATAGCTGTATTTTTGTGGTAAGATGCCAAAGCATGAAATAATACATCCCCAGAAAGAGAAATATGCTGATAAGCAGAAGGATAATAATAACAACCACGCGTCATTAAAAAATGAAGGGAGTAACAATTTAAGTTAATGGCTTCCTTGAGAGGCACTAGCCAGAGAGACACTGCTATTCTTAAAGAACAAATGTGGTTGGAGTTAAATCCAGTTTCTCAAAGACAACTGTTTGTCATAGCAAGGCACACAGAAAATCATGTATCAAAACCAGACAAGAACTTGTCAGAACTTCTGCTGAAAACCCCGCAATTCATTCCTATCCACTTAAATGACTCACTGAGTGCCTTGCATATACATTTATACATACACAATGCATATACATTTCCTAAAAGTAGATAGAAATCAATAAGAGGTTATTTTACTGTGTCTGTAGAACTTTGGCCAGTTTCCCAATGGTTGTTTGCTTTATGGATCTTTTTTCTTTCTGCCTTTCTTTCCTCCCAGCCACCAAGTTGGTGATGGGACAAAAGTGGGTAAATCAGAGCTCACCACTATTACCAGAATCTGTGAGTAGCTCCTAGAGAACCCCTGCCAAGTAGCAAGGTCTACCCTGAGCTTAAGTAGCGAGTGCAATAGCAGTGCTGATAGCACAGTTTGGTGATGCCAAACAGCCAGAAACTGCCCAGAGGAAACCAAGAAGAGGAGTTCCTAGCAGTGGTTGTGAAAGTGCAACTTTGCTTGCAGTAGGCCTGCAAAAACCTGACTGTAAG